CCTGTCTTGTCTGACAGTCCATCTTCTGCCCATTCCTGCTGTGCCCTAGCTCTCTGGAGCAGGGACAGAAGACCCTGGAGGGCAGTAAGGTCTGCCCTGGGAATAACCTCCTTCCCAGCTGCTGTTCCTTCTCAGCATCCCTCTCTGATGGAGCTAATAAATCTGGGCACATGAGCTCCCTATTGCAGGAGGCCAGGCTGGCTCATTGCATATCCCAGGTACAACCTCTCTCAGCGGTCTCCCAATGCCTGCCAGGGGCCACCAGGATGGAATAGGTGCAAGAATGGGGATGGTTTGATACAGGATTTCTTCACTATCATAACAGCAACCCAATGGTTCTATTTGGGGTGAGTGGCAATCCAGGAGGGAGAGAGAGAGCTGAACCCTGTCCACATCATAGGAATGGAACTCCACCTCCCTACAGAGCACCTCCCCCTCTCTATATTCCAGCTGCAGGGCCTTTGCACATGCTATTCCCTCTTTGTCCAATGTGCTCCCCTCCCCTCACTCACCTATTAATGCCTACTCAATTGCTAATTCCTCAGGGAAGCCTTCTCTCATTCCAGTCAAGGTCAGATGTCTTGTTATAGGTGTTCATTGTTCCCTGATCCCTCCATAATAACAAGTAATGAAGATTCCTTTCTTAGTATTAACATCAGGCTTTCCCAGGAGACTGTAAACTTCCTGAGGGCAAGACTCACATCACCACGGTCCTCAGGGCCACGTGCCTGGCACACACTAGGTGTTCAAAAAACATCTGTCGGATGAACAAATGGTTGGACTGCTTTCTTACTGCCCAGGAAAACCTGCTAGGCACCAGGTACCAATTGGACAGGCTGAAGGGCTGCCCCAAGCCCAGGAAGAAGACACCCCACAGCCTTCCCACCTGACTCTTGTCAGGTTGGGAGGCAGGATGGGAAGGCGAGAATCAGAGCAGCCTGGGGACAGGAGAGGGGGACAAACCACACAGCCTAGAGGATGGGGAGCCACCAACAGGATATAGGAACTCTTATAGGCATTCATGAACACAGACGTGTGTGTTATATACACACGCCCCTGAGCACATGGAGCCGCACACACCCCCCACAAGCGTACCTCACGTGCACCCCCAAACATATGTGGGCGCATGTGCCCCTGCACATCCCTCCCCTGCGTGGTCACCCTTCAGAGGACTGGCTCTGACTGGCACTGACGTCTGTCCTGCGTCCTCCTGCCTTCCAGCAAGCTTCTCATGAAGACAGCTCTGGGCTGCCTTGGGGTTCGTGCTTCCCGGGCCAAGTGCTCTGGTCTCCCTGACTTGGTCTTCTCATCAGTGAAAGGAGCTCCCCCAGCTCTGACCCTCCAGTGGCTGGGGACCTACGGAACCAGAAATTCACCTGACGGTGCCAGAGGTTCTCGAGGGGCTCGCGTGTCACCCAGAGACACAAGGCCTGGAGCTGCCCTGTGGCCTGTTCACCTGGGTCCTGCGGAGAGCACTCCTCAGCTCCTCTTTTTCCCCTCAGCTCTGAGCGTTACTGAAAGGACGGGCTCAGCGGTCCAACACAGAACCTTCTGGCCGGGCAGCCCCAGTGGCTAAGAGCCTATAGCTCAAGGTCAGGTGGTCTTCTTGTGAATTTCAGCTCAACTGCTTGCTGGCCCTGGGGCCCTGAGCAAGCTGTACGTTTCTCAACCTGAGCCTCGGTTTCCTCACCTGTAAGATGGGGACAGCATGTGCAGGGGTTGGAAACAGCCCGTTTGAAGTGCCTGTTTCCAGCCAGGGCTCACCAGGGACGCTGCAGAGTTGATTACTGCAATGGCAACTGCGGCCCTCAGAGGTCAGCTCGGGGCGTCACCGCCCCAGGCACTAGGTCTGGAAGGGACTGTGGACACATCTTAGTCCATCTTGTTCATTTTATTTTATTTATTTTTTTAAAGATTTTTAATTATTTGACAGAGACACAGCAAGAGAGGGAACACAAGCAGGGGGAGTGGGAGAAGCAGCAGGCTTCCTGCTGAGCAGAGAGCCCGATGTGGGGCTTGATCCCAGGACCCTGGGACCATGACCTGAGCCGAAGGCAGACGCTTAACGACTGAGCCACCCAGGCACCCCAATCTTGTTCATTTTACAGATAAGGTGCAAGAAGAGAAGCAGCTTCTGCCCTAGTCACCCAAGGTTTGTCGAGAGCAGAGTCGGTGCTCAAGGTCAAGCCTCTACACCTTGGGCCCCCACTCTTTTCCCTCCACCAGTGGAAACTCCTTTTGCTGTAACAAGGTGCCGTAAGGGCCTCAAAACCTGGGCCGGGGGAGGTCCAGGGAGCAGGGAGGTACAAGGGTCCAGGCCTTCCACCTGGCTGGGAGACCAGGCTGGAGGCGATGGCCCCTCCTCTCCCAGCTTCCCCACCCCTGTCAAACTGCTGTCTCCTCCGAGGATGGGTGACGAGCCCACAGAAGCCAGACCAGTGCCAGGGTGAGGGCTGGGGAGGCCCCTCACAGCAGGCTCTGCCCCAGCCCTCGGTGCAAATTAAAACATTTTCCTTTTCTTCATAATTTTTTTTTTCCTGACACAACTGCCCATGAAACATTTTAATAACATCCTAGAAAAGGTCATGGAGAAGGAATTTCACAGTCCCTGAGCAGGCAGCTATAACTTCAGCTGCTCCTGCAGCAAAAGAGGTGGAAAGATCAGGCTGACCCTGGGAAATGGCAGGGGGCGGGGGGAGGCCAGGTCAGGCTGGGCAGGGTGCCGGGTGTGGCCACGCAACCCGCTCCCCGCTAGAGCTCTGGGAGATGATGTTGGATAAGTAGGGGTTGCCCAGGGGATGCTTCCGCACCCAATATTCACACCTCTTGACAGCAGCCTAGGGGGTCTCATGTCCACTTTGCAGATGAAGAAACGAAGGCCCTCAGGGGTGACGTGGATAGACTAGCACACAGCAAAGGCGGGGAAAGCAGGGCCCACAGTTTCCCGGGAGGTCCTGGGCTCCTGTAGGCACACATTCCTGGTACCAGAGCTTATTACTGGGTGAAACAGCCCCTTTATATCTGCACAATCCTACAACCCTGGGGCCGGGGGGTTGAGAAGGAGGTGGGCAAGGCTTAGACTCAGGAACTGGAGGCTGACCAGGTGAGAGACACTCAGAGGAGGCTAAATGCATCCATTAAACATCTGGAGAGGGACTGGAGAAGGGGTTGTAGGCAGCAGGCAGGGGTCCACGCAGGCCCAGGAACTGCTCTAGTGTTTGAGAACACCCAGTTTGAGCACCTACTCTCCAGTGGCAGCCCCAGAGGAGACTGGGCCTAACACATTGTCCTTGGTACCAGCACTTGGCCCCCAGCCAAGAGGTGTGTCTTCTGACCCTTCACACCCCACCCCTGTTCCCTAGGTTCCGCAACCCTTCCCCAGGGCCATGGGAACTTGCGACTGCAAAGTGAGACCTCCATCCCCAGCAAGAATACCAGGGGGGAATCCCTGGACACCCACAAGCCTGACACCTGAACTCTTTGCCATGTGGTCCCAGGCCGGCTGGGGCCCAAAACACAGGCCGTTTGGGTGTCCTTCACTGTGATAGTTGAATGTGGCTGGGGGGAGAGGGGGCTGCAGTCTCTCTTTGGGTCCAGAAGGCCAAAGCCTCTGGCACTCACTCTCTGGCTGCAAGAGGCCACAAGGAGGATCCATGGAGGGGGGCCCCAAGCACCAGGTGACTGATTACAAGGAGCACCTTGGTGGAAGCCAGGGGGGCCACAGCCTGGGGAGGCAGGCGAGGAGGGAGACAGCCACAGCTGACTTAGTGTTTATGTCTGATGGCCCGCCTAGCTAAACATCTGTTTGAAGTATTAATAACTGTCAGATGGGAAGGGCCTGGGGCTCAGTATAGTTTCACACCATCTGTCAGAAGAGTAAACACATTGTGGAGTAGGGGGCCTGGGATCAGCAGGCAATGTCTCGGCTTGGAGTAAGGATGGAGCAAGAAATGGAAGCGAGGACCCCAAGGTCCTCAGAATGGGCAGAGAATGGCAACAGTGAGTTCAACTCCATCGCATTTATTGAGGACCTACTATGCGTAAGAGCAGAGCTTACGTCACACACGTCTGCCACTTTGATCTGCTCGGCAACCAATCCTCTTTGTTCTGCTAACAGAAGCCCCTTTGGCATAGCCCCTTTTCCATTTTCAGCCCATAGAATTTGGATGGAGCGGACCTAACCCCTGGCTCCACTAGGAAGAGTGTGACCCATCTCTGTTAGATCAGGATCACGATGATTGGTTCCAGGATGGCCCAGCAAGGAGAATCAGCTTTGAGACTTTTGCTGGAGCTACTGAAAAAGAATATGGTTTTCCCACTAGGGTTGATAAATTGGTAAGAAGTAATCCTGGGGGTGCTGGTGTTCCTCTCGGTCAATGTAAAAAAAAAAAAAAAAAAAAAAAAGCGCCTGGTGCTAAAGTCAGATTCCTGCTGAGTGCCTGGGTACAGCTATGCCTGAAATCATTTATACTTTGAATTACATGAGCTGATCCTTTTTTGGCTTGAACCACTTAAGGGTTTGTGTCCCTTGCCATCAAGAGTACTGACTGATACAAATGGACACTGGAAGGGGCCCTTTGTCAAAGTCCCAGCCAAGGGCAGCTGGGGGTGACCAGGCACCCTCAAGGAGCCCATTCTTCCCTGGTGCTTAGAGGGAGGGTGGCCCTCCTCAGAGTTGGCTGGTCCCTATCCCCATTAGAGGGCACTTCCGGGGCTCCTGGCCCAACTAGGCTCGGTTCCTCTCAGGGACAAGGCAGAAAACCAGTGTCCTTGGCCCAATTCCAACCTCCTCCTGGTTGGTCCTCTTTCAACATTGTTGCCCCAACCATGGCAGCCCCGTCATAAAGAGTCCACATGCTTTAATACACAAACACCACAACTTCTGGGGGCTCAGGGGCACCCCCTTCCCTGACCACCCACGTTTCTTGGGCCAAGCCCTCTGGCTGCCTCCCCGTGCTCTTCCCCAGAGCTCAGTGGCCCTGTGGAAGAGTAGGACTCACCAGGACTGTCAGCACAGAGGTCCCCACGGTGACGTTCTCGTACAAGCTGACGTTGTACAGTGGCTGGCTGAAGATGGGCCGGTTGTCATTCTCGTTGATGAGGGTGATCTTCACCTTGGCATAGCCCACGTGGTCAGGCACACTCTCGTTGGCAAAGAGCTGGGTGTGCAGAGTGGGGGCCCCGGGTGAGCTCTCACATGCTCCCGGAGCCTTGTCCCCGTAAGTCCCCCTGGGGTCTTTGCAGATCCTAACCCAGAGTTCTTGTCTGAGTCACTGCCCATCCCAGTGATGGGAGTCTCTCCAGCAGGGCTCCGAAGCCAGGGTGGCCACGGATTCTGCTGGGGGCTGGGCTGGCGGGGGCTGGGCCGTGAGGCTCCTTATGGGCTTCCGGGGCTGTGCCCGTGCCTGGGAAAATGCTGCTCAATTCCCAGACACTTCCTTGTCCTCCTTGAAAAGGGGAGGCTCAGCCCAGCCCCTGCCATGGGCTCAGTGGGCTTCCTGAGTCGGATCCACACAGGGGAAGAATGGGGAGAGGTGGAAGGAGGAGTTTAAGGAGATGGTGTCACCCTCTGCCTCCCCTGAAAGCCTCCCACCGGACAAAGAAAAAGGGAGGGGGCCTTACGTCAAAGTCATAGCGGTCCACAGTCTCATAGTCCAGGGGGACGGCCACCCGGATGCGAATGTCTGCCTTCCCTTGGACAGAGGTGGGGGAGATGATGAAGTGCTGGGAATTGTTCCCCACCAGGTACACCTCGAACATGCTGTTCAGGCCCTGGGGCAGAATGGAGAAGAAACCAGTCAGAAAGGGCTCAGGAGGCCGAGGGTCCAGAGCAGAGTGGTGTGGTGGAGGTAGAGGAGGGGCAGGGTCCATAGTGCGGCTTGCCTGCATCCCACACCAGAGTGGTCTGGCCTCCTCTGGGTGACCCTGGCCTGGCTCTCAGACCCTGCCTCCTGTCCACATCCGGGCCCGCTAGAAGTCTCCGCCAGTTCTTTTTGCCTCTGATATCCTTTCAGACGCCCCCAAATAGCCCTTCCAGATGGTTCGGTTCATTTCCCACCTCCTGCTCCCTTCCTCAGTCCCAGTGACCCCAGCTGGGGAGGATCTGTAGCTGGAAGACCCAGCAGGCAGACAGGAAAGAGGGCCGGATGGGAAAGGAGGGGAGAGAAGCAAGTATGTGTCCCCGGCAGGCATGGGCAGGAGAGGGCATGAGGGACAGCAGAACATGGCTTCTTCCCCTCCCTCCCTCCGGAACGGGTCAGTCAGGGAGAACACTGGTTTCCTTACACATGGAAAGGGAATAACCCAGCTGAATGGCAAAGTGAACCCCCACGGACCCCACCCTGTAGCCAGCTAGCGGTAGCCCAGAGGACACTGGATTCCAGGTAGCTCAGAGCTGCAGGGTCCTCCCTGGGCTCTGCCGCAGCCCATAATTTCAGGTGTGTGTGGGGGGTGTGTGCTTCACTCCAAGTCAGGTGTTTCTGATCATTCTAACAGGGCCCGAGCTCACAGGGCCCTCAGATACGGCTTAGCTCCTTCTGACACAAAGGGTGTGAGGTCTCCATGCTACCCGAGCCCCCAAGTCCAAAGAGCCAGTGATGAAGGTGGGAGACATGGCTTACTGACTCCCCAGAGTCTGGCCTGCTCGGCGATGGATTCAACCCCCCGTGGGGGGACATTACCCCCAAATAAGCCTCCTTCAACCTAGGTAGATGGCCTATGGTTTGTAACCAACCCGTGGAGACCTCTCCTGACCCTCACTGCAGATGCTCACTGGGTGACAGACCTGGGCTGTGAGCACCAGGAGGGAATGTCCTCCTGCCCATGCTGCTCACCCTTGGCCCAGTGCCCAGCACAGCCCCTCTGTGTACGTGTTTCTTTGGAACTGAGGGCTGGCAAAGGAAGCATGCCTCTCTTCTTGGTTGCCCAGGGATCCCTTCCAGACCCGTTCCTGCTGTGAGGGGGGCAGCCAGGCCATCTTGAAGCCTTTCCATGGTCAGAAGGGGATGATCCTGGCAAGGCTGGAAAGGGCACCCCCAGTGAAGCCTAAGAGTTCATGAGATTCTTCCAGCCCTGGACCTGTCCCACAGGTGGTCGAATATATTTGTGGAATGAATGCATACTAATATTTACCCATCAGTCTCTTGAGGTTTTTTGTTTTTTTTTTCCTATTTGCAATTACAAATTGGCAAAACAGGAGTGTTGCCAATCTCGGGGTCCAGACAAGCAGCAGGGCCTCCGGAGCCCCCCACCCAGAGTGGCTCCTGCAGACGGTGCAGGCAGTGCTCCCTCGGCCCTGTCAGCGTGTGGAGACCTCAGTTCTCCCTGGCATGGAATCCATCCGTCAGATGGAGGCCCAATTAAATGCCCGAAGGGGCACTAATAGCCAAGACCGGCAGAGTGTGACAGCTCTGAGCAGGTGACACCAAGACCTCTCCCTCCACCATGGGACCTGGAGGCCCAAGAAGGTGGGGGCCGGCTGAGCTACGCCAGGGCACGTGGAGCAGCACGCCCCCTGAAACCCCTTCCCCACGCTGCCCACCGGCCTCCCCAGCCCCTGCCCTTCCCAGGCTCACTTACCAAGTTCTGTCAGTGGGAGTCGGTCAGTCAAAGGGTATGGAGACAGAGAAGGAGCCGGAAAGGTACAGAGAGGAGGAAGGAACCAGAGAGAAAAAGATGGTGAGATCCGAGGTCAGGGTAAGGGAGAGGGGCCGAGTGGACCCTAGGAACACACCCTGCTCCAGAGGAACAGCCCCCTTCGTATCTGATGGGCCCCACACCCAGAGGAAGGAGAGGGAAGCAGAGGAAGAGGTACTAGGGCTCCTGAGCACACTCGGTCCTCACCCAGAGGGAGGTGGGGTGGGGGGGTGGGCCACATCCCTATGTCCTCCTTCCAGGAGCCTGGACCAAACCCCTGCGGAAAACGACCCCAAGGACTGTCACATTTTAATCTTCCTAACACAGAAAACATTAAGACGTGATAAATACAGACATGGAAAATTTTTCACATAGTTCAAAAGTGTAAAGGGCACGCTGCCGTCTCCCTGTCCCCACTGGCCCAGCCACTGGACAGCCTTCTCTAGAGGCCATCACCACACCCCGTCCCGGGGTCTCTTCCCCAGCAAATCCACACAAATACGACGAGCTCTAGGTTTCTGGGCCTCCCCTCCCTGACACCAACGGCAGCACGCTACACGCATCGCTCTGGCTGGGGTTTTGTCACTTAGATCCAGGTCTCGGAGACTGTTCCAGAAGTGTACAAACGGGGGCCGATATTAATGATGACAGCACAGCACACCGAACACCTGCTCTTGGCCGGACGCCGTTCAGAATAACCGCAGAATTATCCTCTGTGGTTACTGTGGAATGTTGGGAGTCCTCAAGCCCATAGAGCAGGCCTCAGGCAGGGTAAACCCACAGCAGAGCAGGGACACAGTGGGAGCTCAAGAAGTCACTGGGTTTCAGCAGCTTTTCCTCACCCACTCCTCTGTGCGATCCTCTTCCCACGGGCCATGGGGTGGAGAAGAAGAAACACCGGATCTTGGAAACCCCTCCAGAGGAAATGGACTTCAGAGAGGTTGAGTGAGTCACCCAAGGTTGCACAGCTTGTTGGCAGCACAGTGAGGATAAAAGCCCAGGCCGGGGTGCCGTCTAGGCCGAGGGAAGTGGGGTCAGGGCCTCCCCCACTAGCAGCTCCAGTGCAGTCTGAGTTCCCTGAGCAAACGGAGGCGGTAACGCTGAGCACCCCAGGGCGGAATCTGAGCAAGCGCCAACAGATGAGGCCACGCCAGGAAGGCTGCCCCAAGGGGGGGGGTTTGAACTGGCTTTAGGAACGAAGGGAAAATGAGCTAGAAGAGGAGGGATTCCAGGTGGAGGAAGCGGCTTTACACACGGAGCTTGGTCCTTAGCGTGTATCAGAAGCACCTGGAAGCTTTGTTAAGCTCCAGACTGCTGCCCACCACCAGGACTCCCTCATTTGGTAGGTTGGGGCCTGAGAATTTCCACTTCTAACAAGTTTCAGGGGCCGCCTGCCCTGCCACTGCTGGTCTGGGACCCCCCGCTGGCCTCGCAAAGGCATGGAGCGGGAATGAGGAATCGGTGAGGAGGCAGACAGTGAGCTGATTTGCAAGGGGTGCATGTGGGGAAGGGCTGGTGAGATCGTTGGGATAGCAGGAGGCTGGGGGGCGGGGGTCCCACTGCAGGCACCGTCTGGAGGGCTCTGGCACTGCCCTCGTGAGCAACGGGGAGGCACTCTAAGCTCTGAAGCACATGCATACTGGTGAAAATGAGGAAGGTGAACTTGGCAGTGAGTGCAAGTCACACCGAGGCAGCCCTCCCTCCTCACGGGGCTGCACATCTGAACCACCAGCGTGGCTCTAAAACTGAGACACGCAGATGCCCACAGCCACTGGGTCAGAACCTGCCGGGGTGGGGCCCAGGCAGCTGCAGTTTTGTGATGCTCCCTAGGGAACCACATTGCGCAGCCAGGCTTGCGAAGACATCAGCGGGGGCAGGCAGGGGCTCGGCGGCACCCACAGGAATCCAGAGGGGCGAGCAGGGGAGAGGCAGAGTGGAGTCCTCCATTGGGCCACCCAACAAAATCTCCTGGAGGGGTCTTTAAAATATCCTCATGCCTAGGTCGCACCCCAGACCAAGCAAATCAGATGTGGGTGAGGCCAGGCCTCAGGACCTCCTAACACTCTCCATGTTATTCATTCTAATGTTCATCCAAGGGTGAGAACCACTAGGGCAGAGTGGTGGTTCTCCGAGTGGGGTATAGGGACCAGTAGCTCAGCTTTACCAAAAACCTCATCAGAAATGCATATTTTGGGCCACGCCCAAATCTACCTTTCAGAAACACCAGGGGCAGGGCCCAGCACTGTGGAGCCAGCCCTCCAGGTGTCCTGATGCTCGCTGAGGTTTGAGAACTGCCAGGACAGAGCAAGGCAAGGCAGGGAGTGAATCTGAGAACAGGGAAGAAGACTGACCATGGAGGTGTGGTGTGAGCAGCTGGAGAGAGAAAGCACAGTAAACACCCACAGGGATGTGGGGGCGCGGGGGTGGGGGCGGACGGAAGACCAGAGCGGAAGAGATGCCTGGGAAGGTGGGGCTGAGCTCAGTGTGGACTCAGTCCGGGTACCTGGACGGGCAGGAGCACTGGCCCCTCAGGCCAGGTTTCTGCATCTCAAGGAATGAGGTCCCTGCCTTTCTAGATTTGGCTGGACGTTCACTCAGCCCTGCAGTGGCCCTGAGACCCCAGGGCAACCGTCCGGCTAAGTCCCATTAAATGCTCAGCCTGCCCCCTTCAGAACCTGCCCAGAGAGCCAAGTCCTGCTGGGACTTGGCTTGTGACTGTGAGCCCCTCGGGATGGGATATGTATGTGATATTCATCCCGTTCACTAAAGCGGTACAAAACCCCGATTAACTGCAGTCCTCTGCCAGACAGCTTCTGTTTATCAAGCCCCAACTGTGTGCTGCACGTGACTTAACCAGAATCTTTACTGACATCGGCGTCAGTGCACCCCTTTTTGGAGAAGGAAAGGGAGGCCTGTGAGGGCAACTCATTCAGGCCTCACAGCTGCCAGCGAAGGATCTGAAGTTGGGTCTGTTCTGTCTCTATCACAGTGTGAGCTCTCAACTGCCCAGCTCTCCAGCCCCCTCCCACTGCACAACGTTGCTCCCAGGGCAAGCAAAGAACTGGCCCGGGAGGGCACGGGTGGGCTCCTCCCCCATTCTCCCAGAGGCAGGAGCGAGGCCCAGGGGAAGGCTCCTCTGCCAAGGTCAGGGACCAAGCAGGTGAAGGGCGAGAGCCTGCCCCTCCCTCACTGTCAGGCCCAGGGGAGGGCTGCTCACTGGAGCTGGGAGGGAGGGA